CAGACACAGCAGTAACCCATGTTTGCTTACGGTTAATCAAAGCTGCTCGCCTGAGGTAGTTGTTGCTCTCTGTGATCTTACTGTAATATTTTGTTTTCCCCAGGGGTACGTAGGGAGTTTTCAGAAGAACCTAGTAAAAATAAATTGGTTTTCTTAAATTGCGCTCTTCTAGACATGTTTCTACCGCGATTGTGATACATGAGTATCTGATAATTCTGCTAGTCTGAGGAGCAAATGAAAATACTCAAACTGGGCTTTAATGTCAGCATTGTAGATCAGCACTGACTTATCCAGTGCCTTTCTGGATTAGTGTAGATCTAGATAGTTGAATGCTAAGAACGCTTGCTTTTGATGTGCTCAGTACTGCCTTTACGCAGCAGTCCTACCATCTCATATTACGATGTTTGAAGGCAAGTCATCCGAATTTCTGAAACATAGTTTGCCTAGATTGCTTTGGGGTTGTTACAGTGTGAGTGGAGAGAATACCTGTCTAATGATACATGATGTACATAACAAAGTACAGTGTAGGAGTTTGTGTTGAGGCATCTCAAACCAAAAAAATGGAGAATTCTGTCCAAGAGCATGGAAGTGGAAAAATATTTTTAAGTAGAGCAACTGATGAATTTTTGTTTAAAAGAACGTTGTTGTAGAGAGTATGAAGCTTGTAAAGGCAAATCACCTCAGCATGCGGGGGGATGCTCTGAGGTCGTCATCGACATCCTCTGAGGGTATCATGGTCGTCGTTGTCCCTGGGTGACCGGTGTGACCTGGGGTCGAGCATCTTAGTGTGCATTGTCTCATTCCATCTACTCTGGGTGACTGAGCCACTATGGGCAAGATCACAAACCCTGTTCTTCAAGTTAATCCTGATCCTGCCAGCAGAATGGAAGGACCACTTGTGTGTCTGAGGTGAGGGAGAAAGTTAAAGTAACATTCTGAGTAGTTATATAGAGGTTCCAAAAGTAAACTATTCAGCCAGTGTAGCTGAGCTTGCAGAGGAGGCTGAGCAGCTTTATGATGTTCTCTTGATTCTCCAAGGTCATGGAATGAGTTGGTTTCCTTTTGACTACAGCTCTGGTAAGAACATGCAGCAGTTTTTCTTCCCTGTTTTTTATCTGTCAGGCATGATAAAGAAGAAGTTAGAAGGCAGGAGAGTTTAATGCTGAGAGTTTAATGAGTGCCAGAAGCTCCACATTTAATGGAAGGAAAATAAAACAGTCATCACAGGAAGAAACAGTCTTTTGAATTGGTAAGGGGTGTCCTCAGTTCACATACTGAGATGAGGAATTGTGAAAATGCAGTTTTGAAGGTACTTCCTCAGGGATCAGGTTTTTTTAAAAAAGTCTTTCCCAGCGGGTATTAGTTCTCACAAGCAGTCTTTCCCTGTTCTTTGTTATCCTTGGTTAAACCTTACAACTAACCTATCTAAAATTTCCTTGCCAAATTTAAATCCCTCTTCCTTTCTCAGCAGACATAAGAATAAACTGATTTGATTTTTCACAGTGATCATTGGGATATTTAAAGCAAGTTCATGTGTTTTTCTTCATTCCTTGTATTTTTGTTGGGTGGAGAAAAAAACCAAACAGCCCCCCTCCCTTGTTTCTTTCAGTCATTCTCCCTTCTCTGGGTCACGTTTTATAAACCTCTGATTATGTCTCTGGCTCAGTTTGGTTTCTCTTCTTTGCGTCTTTGTTGTAGTGTTGCAAACTGAACACAGCTCTACCAGGCATGAGGGAAAGCTTTTACAGAAGACATTTGGGATGGGGTGAGGCTCTCACACTTGTCTTAACATCATCTTTCATTTTACCCCATGTCTGTACATGCTGTTCTCGTTTTTGCTGTAGCTGGTACAAAAGTCAGTGGAACCAAAGCCAGCCAAGGAGCAGTACAAAATAAATAAGGGAAGAAATCTTTCAGATGTCTTTACATTTTTTGCTAGGTTCAGGGGGGAAATGGTTGTCAGATTTTACTGAAATCTATTTCTTAGCTTTAAGCAAATAATGTAGACTACTGTTTCAACACACCTTTTCATAAGTGCTTGGAATTTTAAACTTGGTATCTGAGCCTTAAAATTTTACGAAGCTTGAACTAAAATTATATGCAGTTGTTGGCATTAATGCAGCAGTCAGCAATTTTTAATAAATAGTATTTGTTACAAAAGCTGAGACCTCCTTTTGACCTTTTCATAGTCAGTCCTAAAATCTTGTAGTTGGGAGGGTGGAGGAAAGGTGGTGAGTGTTCACATTTCTCTCTTTAAGCAGAGAAGAAAGAAAGGGCTGTTATTTCTGGGCTTAGATACTTGGGTTTTTTCTTTTTTTCTCTCTTATTTTTCTTTTTGCAGCAGTGAGGTCTATGATAATCCAAGATAGACAAGGAAGTAAGTAGAAAAGCAAGGGCTGAATAGCTGTATGCAACCTGAGGAGCTCTAGTGGTTAAAGTAAGAATCTACATCCTGAACAACAACTAATTAAGTCTGGTTGTCATTGTCTGAAAATTTCGAGAGTGCTTAAATAATCAGGGTCTGATACTATAGTAAGCATTAGATTTGAACTTGTATTTTTCTTTTCTTGGAGAGAAAAAAAATGTTTTATTATGTCTTAAGTGTGTACTGTTTTAACATATAAGGTGGGATTGATTCACCTGACCTTAATTAATGGTGTCTGAGCACACAGTCTGTGCTTCTGCCTTAGTCAGCGAAGAGTGAGGTGCTTAGTCTCATTCTGAGGCCCTGGGACAGATAAGCCATGTCCTAGAGCTGCCAGTTTCTCTTCTGATTATGGAAAGACCTCACAGAATTGCAGAATGTTTGGGGTTGGAAGGGACCTAGTCCAACCCTCCCTGACAGAGCAGGATCACCTCGAGTAGATCACACGGGAACACATCCAGGTGGGTTTCGAAAGTCTCCACAACCTCTGTGGGGCAACCTGTTCCAGTACTCTGTCACCCTCACAGTAAAGAAGTATTTGCTTGTGTCACCTCAGGTGACAAGCTTAGCTCTTGGTGTCTAAAGCCAAGCAGAGTGAATCCCAACTCAAGTGTGTAAAAGTGCAGTAGTGCCCCAGTAATGCCGCTGTTACTGGTGATGCTTTGAGCACGCAGACAATTCAGGACTTCTCACTGCAGTGCCCTGATCCTTTCTCTTTTCTGTGGGGTGGAGGTAGTGCTTGTAACTGTATTTCGTGTCCTCAGGCGCTCAGTGTTGAACGTTTTATTACAAAATCAGGTTGCTGGCAGATGTTCACTTGGGACAACAGAATAATGGAACTTTCCTGAGTGGTCTTTTTTTAATGTGTTCTGGAAAACTGATCTTCTGATTGAGGTTTCATTTCACACCAGGCACACTCGGTAATGCTGTGAAGCAGCGTGGGACAATTGATCTGTGTTATGTTGGACCTCTGCTACAAACAGAATTCTGTCTGCCTTTGCATCCATCTGTTCCATGATCTCTCAATGTCAGTGGCTCTCAACATGCATTTTTCATCCAAGAAACAGTAATTGGAAAATAGTTCATTTACCGCGCAGCTGTATTTGTTGTTGCAGTAATAGCATATTATTTACCAGTGAAGACATTTAAACCTTTCATACCATTCCATCAGAAAGTATCCTCACAAATCCCTAATCTATTTATTTAATTTTCTCTAGATTTATATAAATATTGAAAAAGAGGCGCCTTTCTGTATGCTTAAAGCACCTTGGGCATAGCTTAAGTCTACATTGCAAACAGAATCTGGAAAGCGTAGCAGTCTGCATATCTCTCCCCAGGAGCAAACTAGACGGCTCAGAAAGTCAAATTTCTCTTTCACTCACCCATTAACAGTTTGCTCCCTTGACCATTCGCTGTGTTTATCTCTGCACCACCTACTAAAACTGCTTTAAATGAGTGAATAAATTGTTAAGGAGTAGAGCATTTCACAGAAACACGCAGCTGGGTAATAGAGTGGAGTTTATTGAAGCTGGATGGTTGAAAGGTTGATGAAATGCAGTTCACAACAGTATTACGGCGCATAAGGCTGTGATGGTTGTACAAGTCCTGGTGGCTGAGGGTGCCTGACTGACTCTAGGACAGACAGAAAGTAGTTCCTTCGCAGTGGAGTTTAGTTTCATTGGGAAAATGTGGTATCTCGGGTGATTGTAGGATTCAAAGCAGTGAAAAGCTGCTGATTTTTGGTCAGTCAGTGGTAATTCCTTTGCTGGTGAATGTTCTTCCATGTGAAGCTTTGGCCGGGGGGTGAGGTTCTTTTGGATTTGCCTTTCATACTTTTTAGAAGCAAAGAGTAGTTGGTGTCTCTTTCCTGTCCCACCTCCGTGAGTTACCAGGATTTAGTCTTAGTTCTTGTTTCCTGATGTGGCTGCCCTGAAAAAGTGCGTGCAGATCGGTGGTGGCATTTAGTTACCGTTCTCATAGTCTTTCTGCTATTCCTTGCGGTGATTCCATGCCCTTCCTTTGCCACTCAGACCAGTCTAAATGTTTTCACTGTGGTTCTCTGCGACAAAGAGGCAGATTCAGGGCTGCCTTAACAGTCCCGATCGCCTTTTTACTTTATGGAATATTATATAGATGAATCCTGTTGGGACAGGCCAGAAGGATGGGAAGATGTGACTGGTTTTGCAGACTAAGAAGATAGTTTTGAAAAGGAGAAGCAAAAAACATCTCTGTAAGAGGGATATAGATACAGCTCTCGTGTGATTTGGCTGCTAACTTAACTCAGTAACTGTCAAAATTCCTGTCAGTAAAGCTGCACTTATCTAGTGTGTCATTACCCCTGCTTTGGCTGGTGGACTTGACCCCTGGAATAATGTATTTACATAGTAAAGATTTTAATCCAGAAATCTAAGTGGTTGTACAGTGCACAGTATGATTTGTTAATAGAAATCAAAAAACCTCTTATCAACTCGTCACAGTTCCGCAGATAGATTTTTACTACTCGTTTGTTGGTTTTTTTTTCCTCTTGACTTTCAAGTTCTGATGAATAAAGCAATTCTCGTGTTCCTCTGACAGATAAACCGAGGTCACATGACAACTGAAGCAAAGAGGGCTGCCAAGATGGAGAAGAAGCTGAAGATCTTGCTCGGTGGTTATCAGTCTCGAGCAATGGGCCTCATCAAACAGCTGAATGATTTGTGGGACCAAATCGAACAGGCACATCTGGAGCTACGTACATTTGAGGAACTGAAGAAACATGAAGATGCTGCAATCCCTCGGAGACTGGAGGTGAGATTTCTAAATCTAATACTTTAGGTCAAATACAGGCACTTTGTGGAAAAGATGTTTTTACAGTGCGTGGGCTCTGAGGTTCACAGCCTGAGTTTGTATCAAGTTTTCAATAGTCTTTATAAATTATATTTTTGCTTATTACCAGGCTGCTCTGTCATTCACTTCAGTATCAAAGATTCTATGATCCATATATTAGAAGCTGGGACTAATCTACTAGTGTGTTCTTTAACTTTGTTTTTACTTTATTTCCTTGTGTGGTTTATTTTATTAATCTTCTGCAATGCGTATCGGCAGAAGTTCCATATCTATCTTAATTTGGCTTGTTTTGGTTTTAATTACTGTTAGAACTCTGGGTAGATCTGAAACTTGTATAAAGCCTCCTACTTCCTTAAAAGTCAGTGGACCAAATGCCAGTATATGCTACAGGATATTCTTCTTTCTGTTCACATGTTGATTGTATTACTCCTTGAAGCTGACGTTGTTGTCGGGCCTGCAGCTGCCTGGACTTTTCTAAAGCCAGTACTGAAATGGGGTTATTGCACTTATTTAAACATGGCTCTCAGTTTCCGAAGCTGAGCAGTTGGTTTGCAGTTCTACTTTTGAGCCACTCGCAGAGTTCAGGCCATTTCCCTGACGTCCTGTTGCTGGCCAACAACATGTGATTCGGCCCATTGCTTCTGACACCACCTGCCTCACCCACCTCTAACTGGCTGGCATGGCTTTGAGGATCTCTTTTTTTTCCTTTAAGCAGCCTTAACTTCAGCCTGGAACTAGCAGAAACAGGTACACTGAGGTACCTGAAAGCAACGCCTCAGAGCCGCTGTTCTTAGTTTAAGGATCTCCTGGGTTTTTTTCTCTGCTCTATTTGGCTGACATGGCAATTATAGAATCACAGAATGTCTTAGGTTGGAAGGGACCTCCTGGCCATGGGCAAGGATGCCCTTAACTAGCCCAGGTTGCTCAAGGCCTCATCCAGCCTGGCCTGGAACATCTCCAGGGAGGGGGCATCCACACCCTCTCTGGGCAATTTATTCCAGAGTCTTGCCACCCTCAGACTGAAGAAGTTCTCTAAGATCCAGTCTAAACCTGTTCTCCTTCAATTTAAATCCATTTCCCCTTGTCCTGTCACTGGACACTCAAGTCCCTCCCCAGCCCTCCTGTAGGTTCTCTTTAGGAGTCTTCTCTTCTCCAGGCTGAACAGTCCCAGCTCCCTCAGCCTGTCCTCATAGCAGAGATGCTCCATCCTCAACCAAGACTCCGTCCTAGGCCTGGGCTAGTGTCAGGCTTTCCAAGAAATAAGTACTCATCTGAACACCATTTTTCTTTTTTTTTTCTTTTTAACTCCCGGAAGAGAGGGTTCCATTGAGTCTTAACCACTCGCTATAAAAAAGATAAATTGTATCAGTTCTTAAAACTGAGTTTATGAAAATGGGTTAGAAATGCTCATAGATGTGTTTACAAACTCAGAAGTGTTTAATTGGTTTAATGGGCTTTAACAGTTAAAATGTATTAAATGGCTTGATAGTTACTAGTCGCACCTGTGTTTTTAGTAAATGGTGTTTTAATCAGGTCTAATCCTCAGAATATATTTACTGTCTCTCCTGATACAAGAGTGGAGCGAGATCAAATGAGCTGGCAGCTGGCAATTTTATAAAAAACAGTAGTTCTCCGTGATGCACTGTGTAGGTAGTGGCAGAAGGCCTGTGGAAAGCCTTGTTACAGGATGTGGGGTTGATTAGGAAGGTTACCCAAAAAAAGGTTTTGAAGAAACTCATGGAAGAAGAATCCACGGATAACTGCTAAATACAATGCACTGCTGGTGGCAGGTTTCCAATCCAAAATCTCTTCTTTTGAAGCATTTGATACTAGATACAGTCAAACCCGGGGTAAGATACCTGACATTTGAATCAAGGTAACTGTGATTCTTGATACTCCTCCATATCACCTGCTCTGTTTTACATTTGTGTTTAAAATAAGTAATTTTAACGATGCTCTGTCGTGGTTCTGACCCCTTCCTCTGAAAGAACTGAAATAGAACCTTTGGTCAAAATTTTCATGGGTGTGACTATGGGAAAAACTGACCGGTTGCTTAATTGTGTTTTCATTACAGTGTCTGAAGGAAGATGTGCAGCGACAGCAGGAGAGAGAAAAGGAGCTCCAGCAGAGATTTGCTGACTTCATGTTGGATAAAGAGACTTTTCAAGCAAAGTATTAAAGCACAAAATTCCATTCGTCACTGGTGTAACATTTTAAAAGTGTACAGATACTTCTCCAGAAGCTGTTGCCCTCAGCTGCAGAAACGTAGCCTGCTGTTTGCAGCTTGTCAAGTTTTGTTCCTTTAATGGACTGTTCCAAACGATATGAATGGCTTTGGCCACTATTAAAAGTTGAATTGAAATGTCCAAAATTTTATTAAAACTGAAAAATGACTCTGGTATGATTTTAGCCATGTCTTCATTCGCTAGGGTTATCACATTATTCCTAGTGTTCTGTCAGTCTTAAGACCTGTAAGATACATGCCTGCAGAATAATGTCTTTTGAATAAACCTGGAATGATGAAAAATAATGAAGAAATAAAATGCCTGTCTTATAATTTGAATTCAGTCCTTCCCTATCCCAGGCCTCTTTTCTGTTTCTGGTAAATTGTCCTTCTTCCTTTCCCCTGTTGCTGCTTTTATTTTCCAAAACTGTAACTTGTAATAGGAAGGACCTGTGCAGAGTGGTGATGGTCTGTGTATCACCGTGATCCTGATTCTCCTCTGTGACTAATCCCTCCCATTTTTATCAAGAGGTTCAGATGGTCCTGCCGGCAGTAACTTCACTGTCCTGATACAAGGTAGATTAAAGTTCCGTAAAAGCACCCAGCACAGCCTAACAGTTCCCATAGGTTTAATCAGAAAGTGCACTCTGAAGTTTTCTGAGTATTAATGCTTTTAAAATGACCTGTGCATAGTGCCTGTTCCCTCCAGCTGGTTGAGGAGACTTTTTGCTGCTGACTTGTATACATTGAGCTGACAGATTTGGGTAACACCACGTTCTGCCTTGGTGCAGGCTGTGTGGAAGATGGTTGTGGAGGCTCTGTCACTGAAAGGGGTGAATCAGCCTCACCTCCATCCCTGGAAAGATGATGAAACAACTTATCGCTGGCGCTGTCTCTAGGCATATAAAGGATGAGAAGGTCATTAGGAGCAGTCAGCATGGCTTTGCCAAGGGGAAGTCATGTCTGACCAACCCGACAGCCTTTTATGAAGACATAACCAGGTGGATGGATGGTGGCCATGCAGTGGGTGTGCTCTGTCTGGATTTCAGTAAATCATTTGACACCGTCTCCCACAGCATCCTCATAGGTAAACTGAGGAAATGTGGACTGGATGACCAAGTAGTGAGGTGGG